CTACCTTGAAAATAAAGTAACAACAGCAAATTATGTCTTTGGATTCTTTAGTATTGAACCTTGCGTTGTCCCTCTCTTACTGCTGCCCCCTGGTGGCAGAGCTGCAGTTGGACATTTTAACAGCCCTTGGTTTTCTAACGTGCACAATAAGCTGTTCGGTTGAGTTGCAAACTCTGAAAGGCCCCTGGTCATCCGTCAGGTTCAAACCTACAATCTTCTCTCTGTGAATTGACAGTGATAACCCCTTTACCACCGCGCCGCCCTAAAATTGTAGATTTTTCTGAGAAATCCACCCTGACGGCTCACACTGGAGTATTCTCCCTCTCAGAGCGACATCATTAGTCTTAAATACGTAACTAACGACCTCGTCGATAAACTGCTGTGAAGCTGCCAGAATCTGAGAATAACGACTTATTCTTACCGAATGTCAGCGCTGACGATCTTCCTCCGTCGTACGACTTGAGTCGTAGACTTTCGTTGCTTAGAAATAAGGTTCACTGGATACTAGTGTTGAGTTAAGTAAAAATAAGTTGAATAAGAGCTAATGATAGAAACGAGAGGGGAACACGAGCCCACGCTGTGAATAACATGCGTACGGTTTGATTTCAAAGCAGCACTCAAAGGACTGTGTATGACTGAATGTACAGTGAGTCAGAGGGAGTGCACGTATACATCATCTCAGAAGTGTCAAAGGAGGAGTGCAGGAAATGGATTTGTGCTCTGAGAGTAATGTGTACACACACTTTGTTATAAAACTCAATGGGATTGTGTGTCACTCTGTATCTGTCACATCCTGTTTGTGAAAAGAATCCACGTGCTCCTCTCATGCATGTGTATGAAAATCTCCTCCAGGTGACCTGGTGTCCCGGGCCATGCACCACCTGCAGCCGCTGCACATCAAAAACCCCAGCAACGGCACTCCGGTCCACCAGAAGACCAACAGCACCGTGCACTGGGAGCCCGAGGCGCTCTACACCCTGTGTTACTTCATGCACTGCCCACAGATGGAATGGGAGAACCCGAACGTGGAGCCCTCCAAGGTCACACTGCAGACTGAGAGGTGAGGAGCAGTAACCCTGGAGTGACAGGTTGTTATCGGACTGGTTCCCTTCACTCATGTTCTCACGTTTCCTCCCACTCGTACTGTTTCTTTGCATAACTGCTCCCTAGTCTCCCTTCGTATGTAAAAACGGGTTATTTCTTATCAACGTGAGAAGATGGAGAGGAAGCTGAAACAACCGTGTTTTATTTTCAATATAAATTTGATGATGAATTTGATTTTAAAACCAGAATTAATGTTTTCCATCAAAGAAAAGTCATGTAATTTAGCTCACAGCTCAAAAACATGCATTTAATGATGCGAGCAAAACTGGCAGAAGGTGCTAGATAAATATCTGTCCTCTTCCATTTCTGCACTTTGGATTCCTCGTGATGAACCACATTCAGAATCAGAAGAACCTCTGTCTTTTATTTCTGGACACTGATCATTCGTTTTGCAGGAACATACCTGAGTAATGTGACATTGTAAAAGATCAAATAGTGTAAAAGATAAAATCAGGAAGCTTTGAAATGGTTGGTCCCTGAACTAAGACAAATAAAAAAAGCCATTCACTTCAGTCATTGAATCAGCTTTCACCCTGTGATATGCAGACACTCACCTCCACTCAATAAGCTGTAAATGAAACACTGAGATTATTTCTGTCTCTGAGAAATGTTTGTGTGAGTTAAAATGTCCATCAGCCTCATTTCTGGCTCTAGATTTCCCAACGCTCTCCATCTTCATCCTGCAGTGAGTCGGTTTCACATGCAGCCAGCACAAATGGAACAGTTTGAAAGATTTTGTACAGACATCCCTACTTTCTTTGCACAAGTTTTTTTTGCGCCCCACAAGCGACCGGGTCAGATGCTGCGTGGGCTCGGCCGTCACTGACACTTCCCCAGGCGTGGAGCAGATTGATTGGGAACCAGGGGGACTTCACTTGGACGGACGGACAGATATTCAAACATCTTTTTCTCAACTCTGCGGAGATAAAAAAACTCCGTCCTGGAGGCTCCAGGGGAGGGGGGAGGAATGTCAGGCGGAGTGACGTGTCAGCAGGCTCGCAGGTCCCCAGAGTGAAAACTCTCGATTTAGCATTCTGCTGAAAGGTTGGAGGCGAGTGGAAAGGGCCTGAATAACACTGGGATAGGGTTTGTTTTGTGAAGCTTCAGATATAAGTCTCTCTCAGGAGCAAAATTATTGGGGAGGAGTGAACTTCAATTGTCTTTTACACTTGAGATTTAATGTATTTGTTGTTAAATTACCCTTAGAAGCAAATTGGTTTATCACATTACGCTGTTTTCAGACGCTGAACTCCGGATTTTCACCTGAAATTATTCGGAGGGGCTGCATGTGAGAAAGCAAGTGTCCGAGGGTTTCCAGAACATTTTCACCTGAGCTTTACTCTGTCGGGACATTTCATCCATCTCTATAAACAGTCTTATGGTTTATCGTGGCAATTTTGTAAATCTATGGGAAAGTTGCTTCAGGTAAAAGCATCGGCTAAATGAAATGTAAAATGTATAAGAGGAAAGCAGCAGAGGTGCAGTCGATGTTTGTTTCATGATTTATTCAGTATTCTGACCCAGACGTTTCCTTCAGAGGAGGAAGTCTCACCCTGGCAGTGCTGGGTTAGTTAGCTGTCGCTGCAGGGCGGCCGTCTGTATCCATGGAGAACGTTACCCTCGTTCTTTTTCAAACCTCCAACTGTAAATATGTCTTTCATGGAGCAGACATCAGCTGGTGCAAAACCACTAGAGGGAAAAGGGAGGAGGCCTGAAGTGTCCCATTAGTCAGTCGGCTGTTTATGAGCACAACACCTTTCTTTTTTTAAAACTCTACTTCCTGACAGACTGTAGGTGCAAAGGCGAGGATAACTTTGCATGTGAATTACACAAATGTGAAGAGAGGTCAAACACAGTAAGTCAATATCTAAAAGCTGCTCCCTTGATTAAACATGTGCTCGCAGCAAACCGACAGAAGTAGCAGTCGGCTGTATACACAGTAAACACAACAGTCCCAAATGGTCTGTCTCTCCCGCCCAGCCGGGCACGAAGGTTCTGTTTGAAATCACTTTTTGAGAAATTATCTTTGCTCGAGGGTCACGATGGAGAAAAACCTCCACAGGGAACTTCACTGATGGATTCGTAATGTAATTATCTGACTATAACATGAAATCATCTCATTTAATTCGTGTCTTGGAGGTTTCTATTGTGCATCTGAGGCCACTTGGTGGTTTTAAAAGCCTTCACGGACAATGTCTTTGTTTTATGATCATCTAAACTGAGATTGGTCGAAGGTTGGTGGTATGTTTGTGAAACAGATATACGAGGTGGTAAAAGGGCACGTTCACAACGTCTAACTGCTGATGTCTAATGTGCTGTTTACCACATCCCAAGGTTGTTGTGTTTGTCATTAGCTCATTAATGTAGAGAAGAGAAAGAACCATTTGTATGAGCCTGAGAGGATCATTATTGTGAGTGAGTGGGAGGCCACACTGCCAGTAGATGAACCTCATCCACAACCATTTCTGAGTTTGGATGTATTTAAAACCGAGTTGTGGCCAAATAAAATAAGAATACAGCATTTAATGAAACTTTTAAAGGACACACATGATGCTGTTCAAAGTTTCTTTCCTGTTTACTGGACATTAGAGAATGTAAAGTTCTGAATATGAGAATAACGTCTCAGATGACGTTGAAATAAATGTCTGTTAATTACTTTAACCTTTAATGCAGGTGAATAAAAGACGTAGATGTTGTTCTGGGATGAGAAGTAAAGACAGGAGAGAATCCCATGTTTACAACTTGTCAGCGATATCAGAAGATGCTACTATAAAATACAGCTTGTCATGCAGAAAGTGCTAAACAGATACAAATGTAGTAGCTTCAGTGTAAAAGCTCTGAGGAAAAATGTTTTTCTTTTAAATAAAGGAGCCCTCTTGGACGTAATGACAAGACATCACAAGTGCTCTGCACGGTAATACACCTGCTAAGAGATGATGGAACACGATAAATGCTTCAGTTTTTCTGCTCAGGGTTGAAGTTCTGAGAGTGAGTGTCCACACTGTGGCTTTGTGATGTTGAAATGAATGACTGGATATCTGAGAGCACCGACGTCTTGCTGAGCGTTCGTTACTTTGAGGAGAGATTTCTCAGAAGTGTTTTTTTTTTTTTTTTTTCCCGAGCTGAAACATTCCCCTTTGCACTTATCATAAAAACCTGAGCAACATTTCTCCCTCAGTTTGTCCCAGAGGAGTTTGATGCTGATTGCTGAGAAATGTGAGACGTGGTCATTTTCCCCTCTGAGGATGAAATGAGCGACTGAAAAAATAACAGAGTGGGACTGAAGCACCAAATCAGCCCCTGGGTACCTGCTGTACTTTGCTGTACTGTAGCTACTGTGCATAAACTCTACGCTATTATTCAGACAATTGATCTTATTCAGAGTAAGACATTGTTTCGATTCACGATGCTGCTCGATACCATTTTGGGTCTTCTTTCTATTTTTGAAAAAAAGCTGCAACTTGTTTACGCCCGTTTGTCGTCAAGCAGTAACTGTCACATGCAGACGTCGCAAAATGCTGTGGAAACTCCAATAGGTTGGGGAACTCCGATTAAGACATATTAAGCATCACAAGAGAACTCTCTCTCTCTTCACACACGCTAGAAACAAATGATGAAATATGAATATGTCATCCAGGCGAGAACCACTGCTGATTTTGATTAAATAAGATAATTACATCGTTTAGGGAGTTCTTAACTTCTCGATCTCGTTCTGTTCTGGATGAGTTATCAATGATGAAAGCTGATTTGGTGCAGCCGCGTTATGTCTAAGAGCATCTTTAATAAGGAAATATGTGTCTGTCAACGTTCGACCAGAGTCTTTATTACTCTATTTGAAAGGTCTTTAGAGCACACAAAGAAAAAAGTGCGAGTCAATTCAATTTATTTGTACAGCACCAAATCACAACATGCATTATCTCAAGGTACTTCACAGAAGAAGGTCGAGACCTGACAACATCCCACACTGAGGAAGTGAAACAGGGAGAAAGCGTCCAACAGGACCGGACTCGGGCGGCCATGTGCCTCAATTGGTTTGGTTTAGAGGAGAGAAAATGGCGAGGCAGGAGAAACCTAATCCCCTTTAATGAGAACATCAAACATTTCCCTCTGCAGGCCGTTCCTGGTGCTGCCTCCGCTGATGGAGTGGATCCGGGTGGCGGTCGCCCACACGGAGCACCGGCGAAGCTTCTCCGTGGACAGCGACGACGTGAGGCAGGCCGCCAGGCTGCTGCTCCCCGGCGTGGACTGTGAACCACGACAGATAAAGTAAGAACAACCTCACTGCCTCAGTTAAACCTCGACACCAAACTCCCGTGTTTTTTGCGATTTGTTCTTTTGTATTCAGTGTTCTGTTTTCCTGGTCTTGTCCTGTGAAGGGCTGACATGAAGAATGAAACTCAGATATCATGAATATGTTCCTCCAAGTTTCCATGGAAACCTGTGACAGTGCAGCGTGGATTACGAGACATGAACCATACATACATCACTGTGTGATAATGAGTCACAGTAAATGAGGCTTACCTGCAGAAAAAGCTACTTTAGGAAATGAGGAAACCAGACGAACGTCATGTTGACAGATGTAAACACGAGCTAATTGACTCTGTATGCAAACAGCTCAGTGTTTGAAATGAACGTGTGAGGTCGTATTTTATGATACCAGGCGTTTGTGTTCCATCTGCAGAGCGGAGGATTGTTTCTGTGCCACCAGGAAGTTGGACGCAGCCTCCACCGAGGCCAAGTTCCTGCAGGACCTGGGCTTCAGGATGCTCAACTGCGGGCGGACGGACCTGGTCAAGCAGGCGGTGAACCTGCTGGGGCCTGATGGCATAAACAGCATGAGCGAACAGGTCTGGCACTAACACACACGCGCTAGAACACACACTCCTACACATATACACTGCATTAACACACCTACGCAGGCAGGTGGAGAGGAATACACAATGAATTGTACATTTCTAACAAGTTACCTGGCAACTCATCCCAGTTCTCACACGCTGCGCACAGACGGCTCCCTATGAGTCATGCAAAGGGATAAATTAATATGCTGTGATGCAGATTGTTAAAATACACATGATTTACACTGGAGACAGAATGTTTCTCATTACCTCTGACCCTGGCTCATATTCAAGCAGCAGGAAATATACTATATAAAATTAATATACAAGTGGATTTGTAAATGGTTAAAACACAGATTGTTGAATTAATCTATTTTAAAAAATATAAAATGAAATGTTAAACACACTAGAGTTTGATCGCAATTCAGAGATTGATCGTTCCTTTGCACAATAGCTTTACTGAGATAATAGAGGAATATGATCTACTGCTCCTGAACTGAGCTCTGATTGGTTTTCTTTGACCATCGGGTCGATATCCTGGCATCACTGCCTCTAAGTCTTAAAGTCATTTGGGATTTTCTGATTTCCCCGCTCATATTGGTTATTCCCTGCTCTGCTAAGTGGAGGCTAATGGTGCTATCTGATTTGTCCGTGGTCAGAAAGACGAGCCTGGTTAAGTTCAATTGAGAAACTATTTGCAGGTTTCTACTGAAATATTCTGAAACCTCGAGGTAAGAGGAATGTGTTGATTCAAACCAGATTCAGTCAGATCACTTTACTGGAACGGCCCTGATTTAGTTCTCAGTCTTGACATGTCCTCATCAGTATAACAGATTTTATCGACTGACATTTTCCTCCTCCTCACTCCGCGTCTAGAAGCAGCCGCGGTGACATACCGGCTTTTATGTCCTTGTAAAAAAGCTAAACTGCAACAAGGGACCAGACGGGAGCGATAAAGTCAAATCTGCTGTTTGTCACCATCACTGAGCGCCGTGATCGTCCTCAGGGTCCATCGCCCCCTTCAGCTGATTAAATAGATCGGTGTCCAGGAAATATTTAAGAATGAAGCACCACAAAGGGATGCTGGTCTTCACCGTTATGTGCGGCGGCGGCGGCGGGCTGGCAGCCCGTCGTTAAAGGCCTTTGTTGAGTGTAACAGCTCAGATCAGACATATGATTGAAGTCAGTTTTATGGAGGCTCACCTGAAACACTCTGAAACGTGTAGGGTCGTGTGATTAATGTGCAGAATGTGCCGCAGAGTTCTTTAGTTTTCTTTTTGTCTTCACAATAACACTTGAGCGAGGCCCTCGCCTCGCAGCTCGGAGTGTTCTGTGTGTGGGCGTGTCAGGCTCAGGAGAGTGCTCCGCGCATATGGCGGCACGCAGAGATGTAAGACGTTAAATTAGGAGCTCCACAGCCCACTTATGCTGTCGCTCTCGTCCCAAAGATGCGGTTACTCTGAGGCAGTTGTGATTATGTGTGGAAAATCAACAGCTGGAAATGTCTCATGTCCACTTTGCATATATATGTGGATTTCAGTGCAGTCTTTAGACACGGAGCAGCGCTGAACTTCTGAGCATCTGTAGAATAAAACTGTGATTTAAATTAACATTGTGCAAAGAGAGAATAAATGATTTTGTTCTGGTTTCGTGTAAAAGTAATGAGCACAGCTGTCGGTGAGCTGCTTGTAGAAAGAGCTTTGCTGATGATGGCCCTGAACTCCACGAGCGCATTTGTAAGTGCAGTTAACACAAACGTGCATTAGAAATTTAATGTCAAGGTTTTTTTTTTTTATGGGTTTGATAATGAATCTGACCTACAAACAGCAGGAGAATACATTTATTCAGATGTTGCATTGGAAAATTCTTAATAAAACACAGAACACAGAGTAATTGAAGTAGTTCAGTAATGAACACGCAGAGAAAACGTCACCAGACTCTTTCAGACTTATTTTATATTTTGTTAATTCATATTTTTATGTACCTGCTCGTCTTCCGAGGTGAAGAATATTTATTTTGATTGAATTTAAATATTTGAAATGTACAATCAACCATGGCCCTCAGTAGTGTGCATACCTCCGCCAATGAAACCACATTAGAATTCACTCAATCTGCACACACACACACGTCAAAAAGGTTTTTCACTTTTCAGAAAACAATACTTTAAAGTGGTTAATTCAATATGAAGTTAATACCTGACAGACAGCAGCAGCTCTCCAAAACCACTCTCTACCTTTTCTTCTCCTTCCTGAACTCTGTCGACAAGTTTCTTCCAACTCAAACAATGTAACCCTCTCCTCCTCCTCCTCCTCCTCCTCCTCCTCCTCCTCCTCCTCCTCCTCCTCCCTCCTGCAGGGGATGACCCCTCTCATGTACGCCTGCGTCCGTGGCGACGAGGCCATGGTCCAGATGTTGCTCGACGCCGGCGCCGACATCAACAGCGAGGTCAGTGTTTCTCCGTCAGTCTGCAACAAAGTCACATCGGCTGCACATTTTTGTATTTGTTCCATTATGTTCATTTACACGTGTTTACCTCTGAAAACCATGAACTGGCTGTTTGTTGCTTCCTCTCCCTTCTGCTCTGTTTTCATTTCCTCACCTGTTCTCCGCATGCTCCCTGTTCTCCTGGCAGCTCATTACATGAAGTGCACTGATAAGCAATAAACCGGGATCATTTGCACGGTAACAATGGTGGTTTGTGTCTGTGCTGATGCTGAAATATTATCGCAGTGATAGTCCCTCAAGTGCAGCCATGTTACTTCATTACGTTTTACGCTGTCCGGCAGCAGTTTGCCTGAGACCACATCAATAATGCATTAGTGTTGTACGAGTGTGTGCACTTGGTGTAACGTTCTTCCAGAGGCTCTACTTCATTTGCACAAATTCCTTTTATTGTGTTGGAGTGTGAAACAGTGAAGTGATGTTTTAATAAACCCTGCTTCTGTCTGTGCTGTGACCTGTGTGTGTGTGTGTGTG